TATGTATGTATGTATGTATGTATGTATGTATGTATGTATGTATGTATGAATTCTCTTCCTTATATATCTCTTAAAAAAGGTTTTGCAACATAACAAGAATAATAAATATTAAGGTAATTTACTTGGTTCAATGTTGCTAGACTATATAAATCATACATATCAATGTAGTTTCTAATGTATATGAAAACATAAGTTTCAACTTTTGAAATGTTTTTAACCTTGTATATCTTTGAAATACTCAACTTACAACCACATTAAAATAAGGAGAAAAATTTCCAAAAAGTCATAATTATGTGGCTACCAATTCAGTCCTAAATTTCTCAATTTAACCAATATAGTTCTCAACATTTTGCAATTTTCTAAAATCATTCCGGCCAATTTTGGCCGGATATTGCCGATGTGATGATCTAGTCAGCAGCGGTCATTCTATATGGTATGGATGGCTATGATTTTTGAAATTTTTTGAAATTTTCTTAATTTCTCTTATTTTCTTTTCTTTCCATGTTTTTTCCTATTTCCCTTCGCCGAGGCCTCGGTGATGGCCAACAAGGGCCATGACGCCCTTGCTTGTGGCCCACTGTCCATCGCCAAGGCCTCGGCGATCAATGGAGGGAAATAAGAAAAAAAAAGGAGAATAAAAAGGGAAAAGAAAGAAAATTTGTAAAATTCAAAAAATTTGTAAAATTCATCCACGTCGGCGTCGGTCTTCCTAACCGTGCCACGTAGGACAACCGGCACTGACCGGATTGCCACATCAACGACTTCATGCCAAAATTGGAAGGAAGAATAATATTGAAAAATCGTCAAAAAGCTTACGATCTAATTGATCAAATTAAAAAGTTTAGGAATGAATCGGCGGATATACAATAGACTTGGGATTTGAAGGACAATTTTTCCTGAAAATAAGATATGTGTGCAAGGATGTACGGGCATGAACATTAGTAGCGAATTAACACTTGAAATGACAATGTGCTAATGGGGTCGTCAATAACTCGATCCGACAAACAAAATACGAAGCATGCGTTACCAGTTGAGACAGACAATTGTATTGAATTCAATAAAGCACAAGCCTTAGTCATGATTACAAAGGGCAAAAAAAAACAAAAGAGCACATTTGGTTTGACTACCACCTAATACATTTAACTAGAAAGAACAAGGTGATCGCCGTGGCGGCTAGGTGATCAAGAACAAGAGCTACGGACACAACATACATATAAGGTTAATACCATGAAAAATCTAAATCGGTACATTTATGATAAATTTGCTCCAAACTATTTTTTTGACCATAAAAAATTTCAAATTGGAACACTTGTGGTAATTTTATCCTGAACTATTTTTTTGACCACCAAAAATCCCAAACTGGTACACCTGTGATAAATTTACCCTCCGTTAGTTTCCGTTAAATTTTACCGTCAAATTGCTAAATTTAATGACACGTGGTAATTGACAGGTGTACTGGTTTTACCCCTCTGTTTATCACAAGTTTACCAATTTGTGATTTTTCGTGATATTAATCTAATTTAACGGATACTAACGGAGGGTAAATTTATCACAAATATATCAGTTTATGGTTTTTAGTTGTTAAAAAATTAGTTCAGGGTTTATCAGTTTGGGGTTTTTTATGGTAAAAAAAATAGTTCGAAGTAAATTTGTCACAGGTATATCAATTTGAGAGTTTTTGTGATAAAAAAATAGTTCGAGATAAAATTATCATAAATATGTCAGTTTGAGATTTTTTTGTAGTGTTAACCCAAGTATTATGACATGCGCTAGTTACTATTTGCCAGACCAATTTACGTAGTGACTTGCGTCATTAGTGTCCTATTTGTCGTTGCATGCCGTCATCATCTTTCTACAGTGTGTCTTCATCCTCTTTGCCTCCTCCTTATCTTTCTTTATAAAAGACCTCACCCGAGAGAGAGAGAGAGAGAGAGAGAGAGAGAGAGAAAGGACAGAGAGAGAGACATCAAGCTGTTGATTTATGGAATCAGTTGAAGACATAGTGATTGTCGGTGCTGGCATAGCAGGCCTCACTACGGCTTTAGGACTTCACAGGTTATTGTACTGGAATTGGAGCAGTTAGAACTTGAAAGAATTGTTCTCTAAAAGTTTCTTGTTCTGCTCTGTCTCATTCTCACGCTCCTTATGTTTATTCGTATGTCTCTGATAGTCAAGTGAGTGCTCACAATCTGCGGTGTGTTGCAGGCGTGGCATTAGAAGCTTGGTTCTGGAGTCGTCTGATGGGTTGAGAGCCACAGGGTTCGCCTTTACAACATGGACAAATGCTTGGCGGGCCTTGGACGCGGTCGGGATCGGCGAACCACTCCGTCCACTGCACAACCGACTTTTTGGGTGACTGATGAAATCCTCTTCTCTTGCTGTGGCTAAGATGAATATATTTCTTATTCTTAGGATTACTGTGATTTGATAAATCCCAAAATGCAATTTGAATGTATAGTGTGACATAACATTGAACCCACGAACGAAGACATGAGCTCTTGAGGATTGGCTTGGCCTACCGGGTTACTTGACCACCTACTGTTTTTCACACGGCTGGGCCTGCATCAAGGGTATAGGGCGGACACGTCATTTTAATTTGGAATGATCGTGGAGAAACATTCTCACATGATCATGAAATGGCTTATACTGACTGTCTGTTATAATTTGAGCTTGTTATCGACAAGAATGATTTCCAAGCGTCATGTTCCCAGAAGTTTGAGTATCTGTGGATGGTGATGTTTTCATCTAGAGAGTTTGCCTTTTGTTTGGGTTTTAAAGAAGGAATGCAATAAGAGAGGGATTAGACATCCTAATATTGCTGAGTACCCACGCTAGAATTGAGTGAGCACCTTTACATGACATCTGATATGCAATATAGATCCATCGACTTTAGATGAAAAAGATATTTGCCATGATATTAATTCAATAGCTAGTTCTTATTCTCATGACTCTGTGCCAGATTTGAATTGAAATTTGAGAGGTTCTGGTTCAGGATGCAGATCATTTCCACAATTTCTGGACTTTGTACTGCTGAGAGGCAACTTGATGCCACAGACACACAGTTAAGTCTTTCAAATTCATGGAAATCCATGTGACTTAAAGTTGCACGCGAAATTGGCCATTCAAATAAACCAGATCCATTCCTCATGGCATGTCTTTTTTACTTTGTGCATCTATTGCAGACGAGGCCATGAAATTCGTTGCGTGCAGAGGAGAACCTTGTTGGAAACTCTTGCAAATGAACTTCCCAGCAGCACTATAAGGTATTCGTCCAAGGTTGTGTCGATCGAGGAATCGGGCTACCTTAAGCTTGTCCATCTTTCTGATGGGTCAATTCTCAAGGCGAAGGTATTGCATCATAATAACCATTAATTAGGAAATCTGCTTAGAGTGACAGAGAGATATTTATGCTCAAGAGAAGCCCCTTTGTCTATGCAAAATTTGCTTGCTTGTCTGAACAAGATTTCTACGGTTTAACTTATCTTTATGCTTATGCTGTGTGTGAAAATGCTAGGTGTTAATTGGGTGTGATGGAGTGAACTCAGCAGTGGCAAAATGGTTAGGCTTCAAGGAGCCTGCTTTTGTTGGCCGATCTGCCATTAGGGGCTGTGTGTATTACGAGCACGGTCACAGTTTCGAGCCTAAATTCTCCCAGTACATTGGTGAAGGAGTTAGATCCGGTGTCATCCCTTGTGATGACAAGTCTATTTATTGGTTCTTCACTTTTTCTTCTTCTAGCAAGAGTGAGTATTTGTACTTCATTCGATATGAGTTGGCTTTTGTCAACTATTAAACTATTTTACTCTGCTTTTCATATTATCTACGAGCAAACAATCTCACTTTCCTTCATGCAGATGAAGAGATGGAAGAGAGTCCGGCCAAGATGAAGCAATTCGTGCTTGGCAAGCTCGGAAAAATGCCCGACAATGTGAGAGCTGTTTTCGAGAAAACAGAAGCGGATAACTTTATACTGTCACCACTGAGATTTCGACCCCCATGGGATATTCTGTGGGGGAACATAAGCAAAACCAATGTCTGTGTAGCCGGAGACGCATTCCACCCCATGACGCCAGATGTCGGCCAAGGAGGCTGTGCAGCTCTAGAAGATGGCGTCGTCCTATCAAGATGCCTCGGTGAAGCCTTGAGGGAGAAGCAAGGCATGAGCAGTGAAGAAGAGTACAAGAGGATTGAAAAGGGCTTGCAGAGTTATACCAAAGAGAGAAGATGGAGAGCAGTTGAGCTCGTAAGCACAGCTTACATGGTGGGATACATTGAAGAGAGCAATGGCAGGGTATGGAACTTCTTGAGGGACAAAGTACTGGCCGGCTTCTTGGCCGGGCAGAGGTTCAAGATGGCGAGTTACGATTGCGGGAAGCTGAGCGCTTCTTGAATTACCCTATTTGTTGACTTATCAATGTGTTTTGTGCGAGCATTTATATGGGCCAACCTCATCATACATCATATACACAATACTAATGGGGGAGATAGTTAAGTCGTGATCAGTTTGCTTCGCCTCTCAAATATCAGAGAAGAGTTCCTGTCTATGCAAAGACAGGCTTGTGAAGTGAAGGACAAATAAGGACACTTTTATGTATAATTTCAGAAATGTCAAGGAGGAGTCTTGTTCACATAAATATCATCAACTGACATTCATAACTCAAGATTTTGTGTTTTTGGCAAATTTGCTAGTTCTTCATTGACGAAAAGCCTTAACTCGTCCTTTTATATGTTGGGCCGCTATAAAGTCGACACATCGAATTAACCATTCAAAATTCCAATTTTGCAACTAGAGAACTGCTTCCACGAACATAAAGTTTGGTGCAACGGTATCAACTGTCCTTCATTTTCTCAGACAGCATTTGCTTTAGAGTTCAAAAAGTGGAAATGTTTTTCACCAATTCAGATGGGTTTGAGCCCATTTAAAACTTGAATATAATGTAATTTTTAGTTGAATGAAATAATAATACATTTTATCCCAATTAAAACTTGACATAAGTTTTATGGAAGCAGTTGAAGACATAGTGATTGTTGGTGCAGGCATAGCAGGCCTCGCTACAGCTTTAGGACTTCACAGGTGATTGTACAGGATATGGAGCAGTCAAAGTTTCTTGTTCTGCTCCTTCTTATTCTCACCCTCCTTGTTTGTTCGCATGTCTCTGATATTCAAGTGAGTGCTGATAATCTGTTGTGTGTCGCAGGCTTGGCCTTAGAAGCTTGGTTCTGGAGTCGTCTGATGGGTTGAGAACCACGGGGTACTTTTCTACAACATGGACAAATGCTTGGATGCGGCCGGGATCGGCAAACCACCCCGCCACGGCGCAACCAACTCTTTGGGTGAGATGAATATATTTCTTATTCTTAGGATTACTGTGATTTGATAAATTCCAAATGCAATTTGAATGTATAGTGCGACATAGTATTAAACCCACAAACGAAGATATGAGCTCGAGTGATTGGCTTGGCCTTCCGGGTTACTTGACAACCTATTGTTTTTCACACGGCGGAGGCTTCATCAAGGGTATAGGGCGGACACGTCATTCTAATTTGGAATGATCATGGAAAAAAATTCTCACAGGATCATGGAATGGATTATACCGACTCTCCGTTATAAATTGAGCTTGTTATCGACGAGAATGATTTCCAAGCCTCATGTTCCCTGAACTGTGAGTGTCTGTGGATGGTGATGTCTTAATCTAGAGAGTTTGCCGTTTGTTCGGGTTTTAAAGAAGGAATGCTATAAGACAGGGATTAGATACATCATGATATTGCCGAGTACCCACGCTAGAATTGAGTGAGCACCTTTACATGACAACTGATATTCAACATAGATCCATCAACTCTAGATGAAAGAGATATTCGCCATGATATTAATTCAACAGCCAGTTCTTTTTCTCATGGCTCTGTGCCCGATTTGAATTGATATTTGAGTGGTTCTGTTGGGAAAAATCAAGCAATTGGGATGAAAAAAAAATTAGACTTTCAAGCATGATAACACTTTTTTTAACGAATTATTTGTCCCATAACATTGCTAATGGTATATCCACACTTATATAGTGGCCCACACTCTATTTTTAAGGAATTATTGAGGCACAAGCAAGGCACGAACAGTGAAGTAGAGTGCAAGAGGATTGAGATGGGCTTGCAGAGTTATGCCAAAGAGAGAAGATGGAGAGTTTTTAAGCTCATAAGTACATCTTACATGGTGGGATACATCCAACAGAGCAATGGGAAGGTATTGAACTTCTTGAGGGACAGAGTACTGGCCGCCTTCTTGGCCAGGCAGCTGGTGAAGATAGCGAGATACAATTGCGGGAAGCTGAGCGCTTCTTGAATCAGCCTGTTTATTTACTTATCAATGTGTTTTGCGGGCATTTATATGAAAATGGTAATAGGGGAGATAGTTATGTTAAGTTGTGATTGGTTTGCTTCGCCTCTCAAATATCATAGAAAAGGTTCCTGTCTCTGCGGAGACATCCCATTCAACTGGAGCGACCACAAAAGAGCTTGTGAAGTGAGGGATGGAAAAGTCTAAGAATGGCACATTTATGTATGGTTTCTGGGATTTTAAGGAATGACAACGTGCCATAATTGTCTTTGTTTGGGCAACATGCATTTCTTTTTTGTAAAACATCGCTTTTCATGTGAAGAGAATGATCGAGTAAAATTTAATTGTGTCCTCAAATGAATGGAACTATTTCTCCAATTTGTCTTGTTCTGGAACAAGATCTTGTAAAAATACATTCAAGGGGTCGTATTTGAGGCAGGTCATAAAACTTGCGCATCAACATTTGTCAGGACGACGGCATGAAAACGCCAAAATAAGAAAAAGATAGAAGAAAATGTACAAATCTGACAATAGCAAATGAAAACATTGAAACTACTAAATTGAAAGCACGGGAGTTGTTTATGATTCCATACTCCCTTTGTATGCCAAAGTCTCAGCTGATATTAGTGCTCTTGATTGGGTGTGTCAAGGAGCTATATTTGATGAACTTTTCTCTGTTCAATCAGCAACTTTTGGAATTCTCTTTCGCTATTCTGCCATGAAGGACAGAGTTATCTGCATTGCTTCATCCTCTGGTTTTTTCTCAACTGCAGGTGCTTGGAATGCAGTTAGGAACAAAGGCACCAAAGTTGTGTGGCACAGGCTTGTCTGGCTTTCAACTAACATGCCCAGATTTTGTTCTTTTTCCTGGCTCGATTCTTGATAGGCAGCCTACACTAGAAAGAATTGGTTGGTGGTCTGCACCTGGTGTGTCTCTGTTGTGTTTACTTTGTTAGAAGTGTAATGATGCTCGATCTCATTTGTTCTTTGAATGTCGCTTTTCTGCTCAAGTATGGTGCAAAGTCCAAGCAGAATTTACTTTTCTTCTGCAAGTAGGGAAGGCCATGGGGGCTGCAGAAAGCTTTGGTGAAGTTCCTTTCGAATGCTTGCATTTATTTCGTTTGAAAGCCAAGGACTGCTTTGCTGCATGATGCTGCATCCGTGGAGGAGACCCTTCGTTTGATTAGATTTGCTGTAAAACATCGTTTTGAGGGCTGTGTCAGCATGAAGAGAAAGGTTACGCAAGATTTCCATAAGCTGTCTGTGTTCTATTTGGAATATTTGTCCATGAATGTCCAAGACTTGCCTCTGTATGAAGTACCCGTTATTCTCGACCCAAAAAAAGAGGTACCCCTTATTCAAGTCTTCAATTTAAGTAGCAGCACACCGCGGACTTAGACCGTCTTGTTCGATTGCTGTGTTGGGCTTGTTATGGCAGGAGATTCCGCCCACTTCTGTTTTTGTCGAAGGAAAATTGTATTTATTGCTCAAAAGGATGCATAAGATGTATATAGACTTGCATGCCAAAGCAAATGAAGCAAAGCAAAGTCAGAATACAACAAAACAAAGCAAAATCTAGAAAACAAGAAGAATCAACAGAGCACGGGCAAGGTTAGGCTCGCATTTGTTCCATAAAAACGGAACTGTCAAGCAAAATAATCAGTGGCTGATCACTGGATCTCGTATCGGTGTTGCCAAGAGTCGGAATAAGAGCTACAGAAACAGACTGACACGCACGCGCACACGTAATTGAACCTATCATACCTCATCGCTTCCATTTGTATTTTATAGCTAATGGCTTCATTCATCATATCGGTGTTCACTTTCTGTTTGCCTTTGCACGCAATGCATTTCTTGGGCATCATATCTTTGCATAATTTAATGGTGATCCCTGAATCTGATCATCATCTTTGTCCCACTTATCTTGATATGCTTCATGTTGCGGTCTGAAGTGGAACCCCACTACCGTTTGAAACCTCAGTCACAGATACTTCTAAAGCACGAGACATTCGCCTTCGGTTAGACTGTGCCATGGAAGCAGTTGAGGACATAGTCATTGTCGGAGCAGGGATAGCAGGACTTGCCACAGCTTTAGGACTTCATAGGTTCTGTACTTGAAAAAATTGAGAGTAGTTCGCCTCGGAAGTTTCTTACTCATCTTTTACGCCCTCTACGTGTTTGTTTATTTCTCTATATTACTGAAAATGCTGTGTGCTGCAGGCTGGGCATAAGAAGCTTGTGTTATATTTGTAATGTGATCCCACATTTAGGTTTGACCCACGTTTTCTCTTTTAAGTGACGGTTATCCACTGTCGGTTTTTCCACGCTTCGTACCCCTTCGGTGATAACCGCCCTCTTCGGTAACCGCCTTGATGGGAAGCGGTTTATAAATATGAACGTTCATTCCATAAGGGCAAACACAAGGTCTAACACAAACCCTCTCATTCGGTAATACACCATCAGTACGCGAGGGGATTGGGTTAGTAGAGTGCGCCCGTAATCGTTTCGAATTGACGTCGAACTACCGTGGATTTCCGACGAACGTAAAGTTGAACAATGGCTGGAGGTCAGTTTATTTTCGATCCTGTTTTCCGCATTTGATTCTAATTGTGCTTGAATTTTGTTCTTCTATGCATGATTAGAATCCTTCAGTTTTAGTCTTACATTTGGTATCAGAGCATGTTTAGTGCCTCTGCCTTGTTTTTGTTGAATTTTGGGTGCATTTTTCGGAGCTTTTGAAATGAACAGTAATTCGGGCATTTTGGGGCTAAGAGGGAAATCGCCGATTCCGGCCAAATTCCGGCGACCCACCGCTCGACTTTGGACCGGCACGGTCACACCGCCATGGAGAAGAATAGCCCTAAGTTAATCTGGCATTTGGTGATCGCCGGAGGCTGTTTGAGCGGCGGAAGTTGCAAGTTGGGGTTTATGCGTTTGGACGGAATTTTGCTTGATTTGAGCCAATTTCTTGGTTGTTTTCGCCAAATTTTGGGTCCATGTGGTCGCGCCGACGTGGTCTCCGAAACCCATAAATTATTTTGGTGTGATATGGGCTACCGGAGGAGACCCATTCGGTCGAATGCGCGGCGGAACGGCGAAGAACGGCGAAAAATGGCAAGAAAACGCTTCTGTTCGCACGGAGGAAGAAGGCGCGTGGCCCACGCGCGCACAACCGCTGGCGCGTGGTCTCCACGCGCGCGCAAACCGCCGGCGCGTGTGGCCCACGCGCGGCGGTAGCTTGCAGTGCGCGTGCGCCGCACGCGCCCGCCGGGTGAAGAAGGCGCGTGCGCGCCACGCGCCCGCTCATAGGGCGTGCGCGTGCCGCACACGCGCCCGGGAACCGGCGCCCTTTCGCTTTTACACTTCCGCCGCTGCTTTTGCCCGTAATTACCATTCTGCCCCTTGCCAAATTAAGTTTATTGTTTTATCCTTCATGCATTTTGTGAATATTTTTATGCATGAAATTAAATGTCTAGTGATCCATATATTTTAATTAATTGAGGAGTAGCCACAGCATCTTTAATTAATTAAATTATATATTAAGAGAATTCGGACCACATTTGGAAATGGACATTGATTGTAATTAATCTTATTAATATAATGAATTTAATCCCACAGGAATTTTCATTATATTAATTTGATTAATTAGGTTGAAATATCATATTATTTTTCTTAATTTACCCACAGGGATTAAGGAAAGGAATATAATATGATAGTTTCTTCATGAAGAATTTATGAATCTATTTAAATTAAAAACTTAGCCCACAGGCAGTTTTTATGTTATGTGATTCATATTTTGTGACATGTTTTACATTGGTAGAACATGATATATATTGATTTTGCCTCAAATTTTGTGACATAAGCATGATTATTTGATATGCAGTTTTGCAACCTGTGAATTTCTCTGAATTTAAGAGTGATGTTCCCATACTGAATGGTGAAAACTATAAAGTTTGGAAGGAGTCAATTCTTCTTCAATTGGGGTGCATGGACATTGACTATGCTATAAGGAAAGACGAACCACCTGCTCCTACCGACACGAGCACCGCAAATGAGATAGCCCTTTATGAACAAGTGGGAGCGGTCCAACCGCCTTAGTGCCATGTTCATAAGGACTAAAGTATCTCCTAGTATCCGTGGTTCAGTCGCTCAGCATAGCAATGCTAAGGATTTATTGGAGGCCATTGATGCTCAGTTTGAGACTTCAGAAAAGGCACATGCCATGACCCTAATAATGAAGTTTTCATCTCTAAAGCTCACAAGTGTTAGAGGTGTGCGTGAGCACATCATGAAGATGATGGACATTGCAGCTCAGCTGAAAAATCTTGAGGTTGAGATATCTGAATCATTTCTTGTGTACTACATTCTGAACACTCTCCCGCAACAGTATGCACCTTTCAAGATCTCTTACAACACACATAAGAATAAATGGTCAATTAATGAACTTATGACCATGTGTGTTCAAGAGGAAGAGAGGCTGACTATGGAATTGGGAGAAAGTGCTCATTTGGCAACACAAGAAAGGAATAAGGGTCACGGCAAGCAGAAGGGGAAAGGTAAAATACCTCCCCAAGCTGACATTAAGAAGGAATCCAAATGTTTCTTCTGTAGAAAGAAGGGGCATATGAAGAAGGATTGCGTCAGATTTAAGGCCTGGCTCGAGAAGAAAGGTAATCCAACCTCTTATGTTTGTTATGAATCTAATATGGCTGATGTGAGTCACAACACTTGGTGGATTGATTCTGGTTCTACAATCCATATTTCAAATTCCTTGCAGGGTTTTCAAAACCACAGGAAGCCAGTGGGAAGTGAACAAAGCATCTATTCGGGAAACAAGATGCATTCGCATGGAGAAGCTATTGGGACATGTAGATTAGTTCTCAATAGTGGCTTTGTTTTGGATTTGGAAAGGACCTTTTATGTTCCAAGTTTCTCTAGAAACTTAATTTCAGTTTCAAGACTTGTACCTTTGGGTTACTCTTTTAACTTTTCAGATTCAAACTTCAGTTTATTGTTTAAATCTGAAATTGTTGGGAGTGGTATTTTGTCTGATGGTCTTTTTCGAATTAATTTACAAGACAATGCCTATTATAATGCGATGCATGTTCATGATAATGCTGGTATGAAACGATGTGTTGTGAATGAAGATTCCTCTATGTTGTGGCACCGGAGATTGGGACATATCTCCATAGATAGAATTAAGCGATTAGTAAATGATGGAGTACTCGGTACTTTGGATTTTACTGATTATGATATTTGTGTGGACTGCATAAAGGGAAAGCAGACCAACAAGACAAAGAAAGGTGCCAAGAGGAGTACAGATATATTAGAAATCATACATACGGACATTTGTAGTCCTGATATGGACTCGTATGGTCAGAAATACTTCATCTCCTTCATTGATGATTACTCACGTTACATGTATCTCTACTTGCTTCATAATAAACATGAAGCGTTGGATGCCTTTAAGGTTTTTAAGGCGGAAGTAGAGAAACAATGCGGCAAGCAAATTAAGATCGTGAGATCAGATAGAGGTGGAGAATTTTATGGTAGATACACTGAAGATGGACAAGCACCTGGTCCGTTTGCAAAGTTTCTTCAAGATAATGGCATAGTTGCCCAATACACTATGCCAGGTTCTCCGGACCAAAAATGGCGTAGCAGAAAGAAGAAACCGAACTTTATTGGACATGGTGCGGAGTATGCTTAGTAGCTCCAAACTTCCTAAGTCCTTGTGGACTGAAGCTCTTAAGACGGCAGTGTACATATTAAATCGAGTTCCAACCAAGGCTGTCCCAAATACGCCTTTTGAGTTATTCAAAGGTTGGAAGCCAAGTTTGCGACATGTACGCGTTTGGGGATGCCCGTCTGAAATAAGAGTCTATAATCCACAGGAAAAGAAGTTAGACCCAAGGACTGTAAGTGGGTATTTCATTGGATATGCTGAAAAGTCCAAGGGATACAGGTTTTATTGTCCATCTCGCACTACTAGGATTGTGGAATCAAGAAATGCTAAGTTTCTTGAAAGTGACTTGATTAGTGGGAGTGATCGATTGAAGGACATTGTTTCTGAGAAAGATTATTCAGATACTCAACCTTCCACTTCAAGTATTAGGTTGGTTGTTGTTCATAACGCCCCTTCAGTTCAGCCGGTTATTGAACAACCAACTATTGAAGTTCCACAACTTGCTGATAATGATCTGGTAGATCCAGTTGTTCAACAATTACCAGAAGCTATTGAACAACCAGTTGAACAACACGCTCCTCTAGAGAATGTTGATACAACATTAAGAAGATCTACTAGAATGAGGAAATCAGCAATTCCTAGTGATTATATTGTGTATTTACAAGAGTCTGACTATAATATTGGAGCTGAGAATGATCCTGAAACGTTTTCACAAGCCATGAGCAGTGATGAATCCAATTTGTGGTACAATGCCATGAATGATGAGATGAGTTCTATGGCATCAAACGAAGTCTGGGATTTGGTTGAGTTGCCTTATGGTGCAAAAGCCATTGGTTGTAAATGGGTCTTCAAAACTAAGAAGGACTCGTTGGGCAACATTGAGAGATATAAAGCTAGACTCGTTGCCAAAGGATTCACTCAAAAAGAAGGAATCGATTACACGGAGACCTTTTCTCCTGTTTCTAAGAAAGATTCTCTTCGTATTGTTCTGGCTTTGGTTGCCCATTATGATATGGAATTACATCAAATGGATGTGAAAACGGCATTCCTCAATGGGGAACTAGAGGAGGAGGTTTACATGAAACAACCTGAAGGATTCTTCTCTAGTAAAGGTGAGCATTTGGTGTGCAAGCTTAAGAAATCTATATATGGCTTGAAACAAGCATCCCGCCAATGGTACTTAAGATTCCATGATGTCATCTCTTCATTCGGCTTTGTAGAGAATATCATGGATCAATGCATATACCAGAAGGTCAGTGGGAGCAAAATTTGTTTTCTTGTGCTATATGTGGATGATATTTTACTTGCAACCAATGATAAGGGGTTGTTGCATGAGGTGAAACAATTCCTCTCTAAGAGTTTTGACATGAAGGATATGGGTGAGGCATCTTATGTCATTGGCATTAAGATCCATAGAGATAGAACTCGAGGAGTTTTAGGGCTATCTCAAGAAACTTATATCAATAAGGTCTTGGAGAGATTTCGGATGAAAGATTGTTCACCAAGTGTAGCACCCATTGTGAAGGGTGATAGGTTCAATTTGAACCAGTGCCCGAAGAACGATCTAGAAAGGGAACAAATGAAGAACATCCCATGTGCTTCTGCTGTCGGAAGCTTGATGTATGCTCAGGTTTGCACTCGACCTGACATCGCTTTTGCTGTGGGAATGTTGGGAAGATATCAGAGTAATCCAGGGATAGACCACTGGAAAGCTGCAAAGAAAGTGATGAGATACCTTCAAGGTACTAAAGGCTACATGCTTATGTATAGACGGACTGACAACTTGGAAGTAGTTGGTTATTCGGATGCGGATTATGCTGGTTGCGTTGATTCTCTAAAATCAACATCAGGATACATTTTTATGTTAGCTGGCGGAGCCGTGTCATGGAGGAGTGCGAAGCAGACTTTGACTGCTACTTCCACTATGGAGGCTGAGTTCGTTTCTTGTTTTGAGGCAACCTCGCATGGTGTATGGTTGAAGAGTTTCATTTCAGGGCTTAGAATTGTTGATTCTATTTCTAGGCCATTAAGAATATATTGTGACAATTCAGCTGCGGTTTTTACGGCTAAAAATGCTAGAAGTGGCAGTCGAAGTAAGCACATCGACATTAAGTATTTAGCCATAAAGGAACGTGTTAAGGAGAATAAAGTGGTCATTGAACACGTTCGCACTGAATTGATGATAGCTGATCCTTTAACTAAAGGCATGCCACCAATGAAGTATAAGGATCATGTGGCTAGTATGGGAATAATTCCCATAATGTGATTTATTGTCGTACGGACGATTTTTTGTTGTTTGAAACTCTTACTCGATTGTAATGTTATTCTCAATTTCTGGTGTACACATTCAGTTGTTTATGAGAATAACAATTATCCTTGGTTCTGGAATAAACATAGGGTTTATTCATTAAGATGTGTTGTCACATATGGGCTGACATTAAAGGAATAAGATGCATTGTAATAGATGGAAGATATTACTCGCTCTTAGAGGACATGTCGCCATGATTCATGTGTCTTGTTTCTTTTCTTAAGCATATGGTTTTCGTGGATTTGGTTGGGTAATCTGTATGATGAAAATTTTGGGATCAAGTGGGAGAATGTTATATTTGTAATGTGATCCCACATTTAGGTTTGACCCACGTTTTCTCTTTTGAGTGACGGTTATCCACTGTCGGTTTTTCCACGCTTCGTACCCCTTCGGTGATAACCGCCCTCTTCGGTAACCGCCTTGATGGGAAGCGGTTTATAAATATGAACGTTCATTCCATAAGGGCAAACACAAGGTCTAACACAAACCCTCTCATTCGGTAATACACCATCAGTACGCGAGGGGATTGGGTTAGTAGAGTGCGCCCGTAATCGTTTTCGAATTGACGTCGAACTACCGTGGATTTCCGACTAACGTAAAGTTGAACAATAGCCGAAGGTCGGTTTATTTTCGATCCTGTTTTCCGCATTTGATTCTAATTGTGCTTGAATTTTGTTCTTCTATGCATGATTAGAATCCTTCAGTTTTAGTCTTACAGCTTGGTTTTGGAGTCGCATGACCATTTGAGGACCACAGGGTTTGCTTTAGGAATATGGACAAATGGTTGGAAAGCCTTGGACGCAGTCGGGGTTGGCGAATCGCTCCGTCGGCAGCACAACCGACTTCTCAGGTAACTAAGAAACTCCCTTCTCTAGCTATAGCAATGTAGAAGACGTGTTGCGGTCAATTTTAATAGATTCAAACAATTTGCAATCCGAATGAATAGTGAGACAAACACTGCACCCGCCAAAAGAAGACGTGAACTGATACCTAATATGGGACATAGGTACCATAAAGTTCTTTTTTTCATATCTCTGTGCCTGTTATTCAAATTGACATGCTGGAGGTTTTGGTTGCAGGGTGATGACCTCTTCCACAATTTCTGGACTTTGCACAGCAGAGATACCGTTAAGTGCCATGGGGCCGCAGTTAAGTCGTTCATATTTGAAATTAGCCAGTCAATTTACCAGATGAGCTCCTCGTATCTTTTGTGGAAAGAAGAACATTGTTCTATTTCCTTTATGTAATCTGGTCTGTGTATTGCAGGAGAGACCATGAATTTCGTTGCGTGCAGAGGAAGATCTTGTTGGAGACTCTTGAGAAAGAACTTCCAAGTGGCACTATTAAATTTTCTTCCAAGGTGGTTTCAATCGAGGAATCAGGTTACCTCAAGCTTATTCATCTTTCTGATGGTTCTATTCTCAAGGCGAAGGTATCACATTGTAATCTACCATTGATTACGAAAATTTGCTTGGAATGACAATTACAATTAATTCTTGAGAGGAGCCCCCTTTTATCTGCTGAAAAATTCTCTCGCGTTTGAAACTTGAGGTTGTCTATGGTTTAACTGATCTTTATGCTTATACTCTGTTTGTACGTGCTAGTTGTTGATTGGGTGTGATGGAGTGAACTCCGCAGTGGCCAAATGGCTAGGCTTCAAGAAGCCTGCTTTTGTTGGCCGATTCGGCATCAGGGCCTGTGTATATTATGAAAATGGTCATGGTCTCGAGCCCAAAATTTTCCTGTTCATGGGTGAAGGAGTTAGATACGGTGTCATTCCTTGCGACGATAAGACAATATACTGGTTCTTCAGTTTTTCTCCTTCCAACCAGGGTGAGTATCGATATGCAATTTTTTCCTTTAAAGATAAAATCTTCATCTTCTTTTTTCTCTGATATAAACTGGGCTCAACATATATTAAATCCTTTTCGACTGATATGAATATTTTGTTCAAGCACTTGTGCCATTTTCCTTAATGTAGATAAAGAGATTATAGATAATCCGTCTAAGATGAAGCAATTTGTGCTGAGCAAGCTCGGAAAAGTTGCCGACAACATAAAAGCTGTTATAGATGACACGGAATTGGATGACATGATGTTATCTCCACTGAGATTTAGACACCCGTGGGAGATTTTATGGGGAAGCATAAGCAAAAGCAACGTTTGTGTAGCTGGAGACGCATTCCACCCCATGACACCAGATATTGCCCAAGGAGGCTGTGCGGCCCTAGAAGATGGCGTCATCTTAGCAAGATGCCTGGGTGAAGCAATGAGAGAAAGGCAAGTGATTAAAAGTGAAGGAAAGGGTATGGAAGAGGAGGATGAGTACAAGAGGATGGAGATGGGTTTGCGGAATTACGCCAAAGAGCGGAGATGGAGAGCATTTCAGCTCATAACTACAGCTTATATGGTGGGATACATGGCACAAAGCAATGGCAAGATATGGAACTTCTTGAGTAATATAGTACTAGCCAGGTTCTTGGCCGGGCAGCTGCCGAGAATAGCGCGCTACAATTGCGGGAAGCTGAGAATTTCTTGAACTCAGAACTTGGTCCCATATGTTGCTATTTGCCTTTTCAGGTTACATAGCGAGTGTTTTCTCAATTTCTCGTTTCTCTTCTTCCCATGTAGAGGAAAATAAGGGAATGTTTGTGTTTGTGCTAGTAAAGTAAGGATGATGAGTGCTTGAGCTACAATGATGTCATTTTGACTGCCAGAATATGTTGCCCTCTTTAAGGCATCAATGTCAGATATGTAAGTGATTGGACTTTGGAGATATGAGTTGAATTGCTGGACTTCTTTGGTTGCCTTGTCAGTTGTCAGAGAATTCTACCATCCAGATGCAGATCAATTCCTTCCTCTCCTAGCTATCATATTCAGCACTTCAAACAAGCACCACCGCCAGGAAATTACAATGCCCGGGTCTGCTGAACAATCCGACTGAGCAGATCACAGCAATGTTTGAGATTAGGAGGATGAGATGAAAATTAGGGGATTAAGTCATCGATCTGTAATATTTCGATTTTTTTAATACAATTCCTGAGGAGAAAAATACTCTCCCCAATCAATGATTCATAAGGTCATGTCTGCAAATAAGAAATATAATGCGGAAGAGAGAAATATGAAATTTCTATTTATATTTTGATGTATCTTGAAGAAGAATATAGAGTCAAGGATTTATGAGATAACTATATAAGATAACATATCAATCAAGTTAGCACAATTAAAAAGAGATATACGTACAATCTTAAAAGATAAGAAGAATCAATAGAAATATCTTAATTATCTCAAATATCCTAGAAAATTATCTAATTATCTCTAAAAAAATACGAAAACACCTAGGTTGTCATTAAGGAATTCTTAAGGCGGCGAGTTTGGCGGTGGTGTCGATTCTTTGATATGAGCAACAGATGTCGTGAATCAAAGGAAAGCATGGTCGATATGACTGGATTTGCTGACCAAACCAGTAACTAAACGAACGCGACCGATGCGGCTGGCGTTGTAATTGCAAACGACCGATGTGGCTGGTTTTGCTTTCAAAACAGATATTGAATGACGTGGCCTATGCGGCTAGCGCCGTAATGACCAAGCTGAGAATTCGAAGGAAACAGCAACTGGCCAATACAGTTGACTTTGCTGACAGAATGGTAATTGGGCAATGGCACTTCCTCAAATGACAAGGCTTTGCAAACTATGCGACGACAGAACTCGTCGACGTTGGCAATCGGACAAGACGATCAGCGGAGGATATTACGACTTATTGAAAACAAAAATGATGAGATGTGAGATTAGCTCCGGATGCACACTCGGGTGTGCCCTTACACCCGATGCACTTTAGGATCGACTAACTCTAATTTTATGCTAGATTATCCAAAGCTATTAGATAAAGAGAGACCACATGAATATAAGGAGCATATAGAATTTGTTGTGAAGCATCTAAGACAACATTTCAACACCACTACTCTCACCGTGCAAACCGAATTAAGAGCAACTCATAAAAATTTTGAACATAGAATTTTGACTGATGTGCGTTGACGCACATACGCGAAAGGGATAATATCTGATACTGTGTTAGATTTTGTAAGTACACCGCCAACTGTTCTAAAAGTCTAAGTTGTTAAATGAATGCGTAAATTTAATATTTAATTATTTTACAGTCTCCTCACGCGTAGACTGGACTTTGGCCTAAGCCTACTCCCCTCTCGCGTAGGTCGTACTTTGATCCTATAATCTAATTTTTTTTTGGTCAAAGATACTATAATCTAATGACATTAGATTTACATGTCATCCTATAATCTAATGACGTGTGAATTCTTGGGCATTCTTTGCACTAATTGCGTTCTCATTAATTTCATGAAGTGATAGGACGAACAATTGTTGCGCAAAACTCCCTTAATTTATCTAGGGTTAATACTACGAAAAATCCTAAACTGGTACACTTGTGATAATTTTACCCAAAACTAATTTTTTAATCACAAAAAATCTCAAACTAGTACATCTATGATAAATTTATCCCAAACTAATATTTTGACCAGTAAAAATCCCAAACTAGTACATTTGTGACAAATTTACTCTTCATTAATTTCCGTTAAATTAAATTAATACCACAAAAAATCACAAACTGGTACACATGTGACAAACGGAGGATAAAACATAAAACTGATACATCAGTTAACTGTCGCGTGTCATTTAATAAAACAATTTGACAGTAAAACTTAACGGAAACAAACCAAGGGTAAATTTATCACAAGTGTACCAGTTTTGGGTTTTTGGTGGTCAAAAAATTAATTTGGGGTAAAATTATCATAGATGTACCAGTTTGAGGTTTTTTCGTGGTATTAACCCATTTATCTATCTCCAGAATTATTTCTATTTTTTTTAAAGTCCTGTGATATCGAATTTGTTATGTATTCCGGTCGAAAATTTTGTCTCTCTCCCGAGCATAGTAAAACTAATGGCATTTATCCAATAGATGTAGCTCAAAAGCTAAAAGTAAAACTAATGGTATTGTCCATTCCTGAAACAAATATGATCAGTAAAACATGGAATTAACAGAAGCTCAACTCTTTTCTGAGTAAGCAAGATATCACAACCCATTGCAGTTTCAGCAACAGCAGAAAAGTGGACAAAAAGTGTATCGTTCAGTGATAAGTTGCTTCAGCCAGCTGAACTTGAGCCAAATGCCTTCACAATGGTACTGACTCTCTCCGCAAATGTTCTGGAGGTTATCTTTTTACCGGGTACATGAAACGGATTCGAAACTGCATCCACGTATGCCGCATGAAACCTCCGGAAGAACTGTTCGTAAACAAAGCAATGAGACAGATTTCAATCACAGGCGAGATGATACAACTACCAGTAGGAGCAGAATGTACCTACTCAAGCATCCTAAAGATACAATCTGCATATTGCTATGTAATTACAAAATGGCAATGGCCTCTTCATCTTACATGCCAGAAGAGATCATCATTACTAACTTACAAAACCAGCCATGCGCCAGTGATGCATAAGCAAAGCTAGACCTCATATTATTCATAGTCCATTCATATCCAAGTACGGCTAGATGCTCTCTTCTGTAGCCTTAGACGATCTGTACACTCCCTCAAAGGAAGTAGATTGTTTCGCATAATATTGCAAGAAGCAGGAGAGGAAACGGAAAGGAAGACAAAGTGCAAGTGTTGCAATCTGATCCATCACCTGTCAAATGATTCCTTTTTACTAGAATCAAAGTTTAACAGATGCTTCTTATGCTTTACACTATCTCAACTACTTGCCATTTTTTTCTTCAAACGATGAGGATCTCCACTCGAGTAAGCTCTGCTTTATCAGATGCCCTCGCTATCCTTATGAGGCATATACCAAGTAAACCGGAAGCTAAAGCTGGGTGCATTGATGGTCCACAAATACCCGACTGCCCTCAAGAGAATTGTAAGTTACTAACAAGAACAAGCATGAAATTCACGTTTTAGGCTTAGTCCGTTAGGCTCCACCAAGACACATGCCACCAGTCTGTTCCCTAGGAGAGAATCTTTACCCTGAAGTTTACTAGTTACCACCACATTCAACAGATCCCTATTCCAGGATCAGCAAACTCAAACCTCTATTATTTACCATCACATCCAGGATACATTTTCAACTTGGCAACAATGGAAAGTTTATAGCAAAGCCTAGGATCAACAGCCGACATGCAACTGTATAAGGATACTGATGTAGGAGTTCACCAAAGATTTCGGAAAATTACATCAGAAACAACTGTATTTACTTAAGTTTACTCACATTTCTCACATCGGCATCTTTGACATCTAAATCTGTTGTGACTAGGATAAACTTCACTTTTGTATTAGTCAGATAGCCATACCTGCAAGCAGAATGACCGCATCAACCAAAAATTCGCTTACTAAATCACAGAGCACTAACCATTACTGGTCGACACAAGTTTCTACTCATCAAGTAAGCAAAAGAGGACTTACACTTTGTAGTTTTCGGTCGGATAAAGAAGACCCAGAAAAGTCTCATTCAGCAGTGGCCCTGATTTTTTCGGATTGTTCACTGAACATATTCAAACAGAGCAACCACAACACCATAAGAATTCACCAATAGGAAACCGCAACGTGACGTTAGCCTCAAAATCACAATATGTGCCAAGATCTAAACTTTGCTATGAGAAATTTCCCCACTCCCTACCACTAGCTAAAGAACAAATGCAATTTCTGAATCACCACTAAAATCAGAATCAACGGGATGCTAGCAACCTTGTTATTACAGCCCTTAAGAAGAAAACATTCGCAACATTAGCCAAATGAAGTGACTCGGATCAAAGTTCGGGCAACGAACTACGCGTGCAGATACGTATACGAGGGAACTACGAACTACCTCGCTCGTCGACGACGTCGAGAGAGCAGTGGACTATGTGGTGAAGCTTGAGCGCATCGTCCGCCTCCGTGAAACTCTGTATGTACAGCGGGTTGTTCTGATCCCGATCGGAGATCAAAAGCCGCGCGAATCAAAACACAAAAAGACGAACAGCCATAAGATGGATTCAGGCGATCTGGAAAAATCGAAGACGAATCGCACGAGGGCGCATTCCGGGCACCGGCGTGCACCGCGGGGGCGGAGGCGTACCTGGTGGCCGACGACGGCGACGCAGACGATCATCTTCTCCGATCGCGTTGCTTCAACCGCTGGAGCTGACGCTGCTGAGGAGGAGTCGAGTTCTTCATTTGCAGGTAACGGGTCGGGCACGGGTTTTGTTCGGTTGCACCGGATCGAAATGGGTGTCCGGCCCGGTAAGGCCCATACCTTTTTTTAATCAGGCGGGCCTGACGAGTGGTTTCCAAGCTCGGGATCGGGCCCGACCGGCCCAAGCTTTTGACCCGATTCGATTGCGGAGTCTGTTGGGTTTCCCTTGCCTTGTCGCCGCGGACTCGACTCTTTTATCACGTTACATTACGTTTCATAATAGCCCAAGAAAGCATCCCTCCTTTCTTGACTTCCACGATGCTCGTTTCATTGCTTAGTAATCTCAATCACCCCCAACAAAATGGATCACGTTAAGGACGAATAAAAGGGACAAGTATAATGTGGAAACTTGTCAGAGAGTGCAATTGAGTTCTACAATTTTCAAAAAGTGCAATCGAGTTCTTAAAATTTGTCAAATTGGTACAATCAAATCTTTTCATTAATTCTATCTAACTTGACAAATGAAAAATGTTAACAAATTTTGGAACTTGTTTGTGCAAACTTGACAAGTTTCAAGACTTAATTGCACATTTTGAAAGTTTTATGGCTTAATTATTCTTTTGGGATAAGTTTTAGGACTTGATTGCACTTTTTGAAAATTTTTAAGATTCAATTGCATTTTCGTGACAAATTTATAGGCGAAACTTTCAAATAATGGCTTGAATTGAGGCGACTTTTTTTAAAGAGGGTCCGGAGTGAATCTTGTCTCTAATAAGGGACCTTGAACAAGGTCGCTTTCAAATTTTTCCAAGCCCCTTTTTAAGAAAAAGAAAACCGGCTTCACTTCGGATTCCTATTCGAAATTCTCCCGTAAAACATATTCCTGTGGATTATTTTTGGTCGGAAATGGAAAAAATTGGAAAACGAAGGAACGAAAGGGTAGGGGCAATCTGGGCCTTTCGCCAGCAAATCCGTCCCCACGATTGCCCTCGCCTCCGCCTCCAGCACGAGCCGGTCGCGCGGGGTCCGAATTACGATTATGCCCCTCTCTCCGTATCCGGGATCGAGCCATCGAAGCTCCCCCGGTCCCCCCTGTCGAGGTCGCAGACATTCACGTTTCTCTCCCCATCGCTAAACAAAAAAGCCGAAGGGCCGCTCGTTCGAAAATATATATTCAGACAAGAACGTCTCCGACGGACATCTTCCTCTCTGCATCTCTCTCCTCCATTCCTCCGAGACTGATCTTCCCTTACGAGGTGACTGTTCCTTGGGTTTCTTGGGTTTGTCCTTGATTGTCTCGGTTCCGTCTCGCGACATGATCTTGTGAGGAGGCGGCGGATGATTCATGTGTAGCTTGCTTTGGATCGATCGTGTGGGTGTATGATTGGATTCGTCGACGATCGATTGGATGGGTAGCTGAATGGAGCTCCTTCGCGCGCGCGCGTTTTTTGTTTTAGTTCATGTCTTGGTCTTCTGGGTCTTGTCTGCGGCTTGTTCTTCAGCTGCTTTAGGGTTATGATAAGCTGGGATGAGCTCCGTGGGATGAAGATGGGTAGCTCGTGTTTGTTGATATCTGCATTTATTGATTGTGTTTCGATGGGTCATTGGGTGGGTTCTGTTTGAAGCTGGCAATCGTTCGTTGTTCATTGGAGGCGCGCTTGGCTTGTTTGCACCCGATGCCTGATTGAATGCCGTTCGTTCTGGTGGCTTAAAAGATTTAATCTATTTGAATCTTTCGAGGGTTTAATCCGCTCAATAGCTGCCTGTTGCTAAAAGATTTGTTTTTTTCTCTCTTTTAAATTCTTACGAATTGTGTCTTCTCATTTCCGAAACGCGAAGGTGATGGTATTCCGTAGAGAAATCATATTTTTCGTCACTCCTGAATCTCAGAGGTTTGGAAGACATGGCCTGTAGAGATTTTTAGGACTTAGTGTTCCATTGCGACACTAAAAAGAGCTCCTGTTTGTAATCTTGTTGTGAATGGCCGACATTGTCTGGGAATTCGAGCCTAGGGGAACATACGGTGCATACATATATTTGGGCTACGAGGGCATATGATCTTATTTCCCTTTATTCGTTCTTTCTGCAAATCCTTTGTGATGCACTTTTATATGTTCTTTTGGCGGTGTTTATAAGATATCATGATTGGTTTGTGATTTGGGTGACAATTTGTTCGAAGGTGATGTTAAATTTGGATTTTATGAATGGTCAGATGGCATTGCAACAGAAGAATATTGCTGCTGAGGAACCAACCACAAGTGGGCACGACACGACTCTGGAGGAAGCTGATTCTGCTATCGGTGGTTGTCTTTCTGACGTGAATAACAATGGTGACAGCAATGGAATGGCAGAAGCAGATAGAAACATCAAGGAAACTCAGAGTTTCCCTGGCATATATAGGCAAGATGTGGTGAGGAGCAAAAAAAATGGAACGATCGGTATAGTGACTGAAGTTGCTGGGGACTCTGATTCAGATGGCAGCATTACTGATGAGGAGGATGAAGACGAAGACGATGAAGACGATGCTGAAGACAGTGCAAATGAGGAGACTGATGGTGATAGAATCAAATTATCTCGGGAAAATTGTGCCGGAAGCCAAGGTGATGAGAAACCAGGTCCTCTATCTGCCGACCAAGTTCGAGTGCTCTGGATGAATGACATTGAGAGTACTCAAAGTCTTAATGAAGTAACAGTCATTGATCGGGGATTCTTACACGGGGATTATGTGGCTTCAGCCTTAGACCCTACAGGTCAAATTGGTGTCGTGGTGGATGTTAGTATAAATGTGGATGTATCAACTTATAGTGGATCTACTATAGAAGATATACCATCGAGAGAACTAAAGCGTGTGACGGAATTTTCTATTGGAGATTATGTTGTCCTCGGTCCGTGGCTGGGTAGAGTAGATGGTGTTCTAGATAATGTGACTGTGCAGTTTGATGATGGTTCTGTCTGTAAAGTAATGAAGGCTGAGCCACATCGCCTCAAACCTATCACCAAGAATCTACTTGAAGATGAGCATTGTACTTATTTTCCTGGTCAACGTGTCAAGGCTAGCTCTTCTTCGATTTTCAAGAATTCGAGATGGCTATCTGGGTTGTGGAAAGCTAATAAGTTGGAGGGTACCGTAACCAAAGTCACGATAGGCTCGGTGTTTATATATTGGATAGCGTCCGCTGGACACGGGCCTGATTCTTCGACTGCTCCAGCGGAAGAACAGAGCCCGAAGAAACTGAAATTACTGTCTTGCTTTTCCCATGCAAATTGGCAGCTAGGTGACTGGTGTCTTCTTCCATCTTCAACACCAGCTTCGTCTCTATTATACAAGGGTTTGTCAAGACTAGAACTTGATGACTCGCTCAACAGTGAGTTAGATAGCTCTCAACCGGAAAAGGAGGTTGCATTGGATGAGTCAATTGACAACAGAGAGTTCATGGATACTGATGCAGACACTGTATTGGACCCAAAGGCTCCATTGGAATCAATTACACGATACGCAGCCTCATCTGAGTCTAGCTCATGTAGCAGTTCATTGTCGGTTGCCAAGGAAACTCTTCATGAACCTTGGCCTCTTCATCGGAAAAAGATTCGTAAAGTTGTTCTGAAGAGGGACAAGAAGATTCGAAGGAAAGAGGAAAATTTTGAAAAAGCTCTTCAAATTGTCAATACCAGAACAAAAGTTGATGTGGCGTGGCAGGACGGTCAGATTGAACGCTGTCTGGACTCAACAAAATTGATTCCAATTGAGACGCCTGGTGATCATGAATTTGTTGCTGAACAGTATGTGGTCGAAAAGGCTGCTGATGACGAGGATTATGCTGGTGAAGTTCGGCGTGTTGGGGTAGTGAAAAGTGTAAATGCCAAAGAGCGAACAGCTCGTGTCAACTGGTTAAAACCAGTTGCCAGGCCAGAAGATACTCGTGAGTTTGAGAAAGAGGAAGTTGTTAGTGTCTATGAGCTGGAGGGACATCCAGATTATGACTATTGTTATGGTGACGTCGTTGTACGTTTGTCCCCAGTTTCTGCTTCTTTGCAAATGGATTCTGGTATGAAATCTATCGAGACAGGAATGCAACAAAGCGTGCCAGAGGAGGATACAACAGATAACGAAGAAGACAGCTTGGGGACTCAAAAGGTCGAGGAAGTCACCGACAATGAAGCTACCTCTACCTTTACAGATCTTTCATGGGTCGGTAATATAACCGGGCTTAAAGATGGTGACATTGAAGTTACATGGGCTGACGGGATGGTTTCAACGGTATGCATGACAGCCTATAGCTATTTATATCTTCCTTTATTTATAGTTACACTTATGTACTCTTTTAGCACTAGTCTGACAATGGTCTGTGCGCAGTTGGCATGCTTACCATTGTTGACATTAACACCTCTTTTGTTTTTTCTTCTTTTTGCTTTCAACCGCAAAAGCAATTGATGGAAGAAGGTTGGAGCCCTTCTATTTTTTGCATGAACTTTCTCAATGTGGTGGTAAATCTGGTGATTAACAGTTAGAAACTCTACTTGAGCTGGAACAGCTGCTGGCTTTAACCAGTGAGAAATTACTTGTGAATCATTTGAATAATGAGCTCGAAAAGAAATAATTCCAAAGATTCGTCATGTCTAAAGCTCCACGTGTTACTAGGTTGGATACAGGCCAGGCCTAAATCTTTATTGCTCTGTTCCTCCCTCTGGACAAAAAATGACCTTCAATCAATTCCACTCATTTTTTCAGTTTTGTTACAATAATGTGACTCGTTCTCGCTCGCTTTCTCCTTTTATAGACTAGATTTAATATCTGGCCTTTTGTTGTCTCTTCTTTGTGGTTTATAGGTCGGACCGCAGGCCATATATGTTGTCGGTCGAGATGATGACGATGCGTCGATTGCTTCTGGCAGCGGGGTTAGCGATGCTGCAAGTTGGGAAACTGTAGATGATGATGAAATGGACGCTGTAGCAAATGACAAAGAGGTTTGTTTCTCCTTATGCCTAGAGCACAATTTGATGAATGTAAATGCAGAGACAACCTTCCGGCCTGGCGATGTGAGGCACGTGCACTTAGCACGATTGTCACAAAAAGTACAAGGAGGAGATTTTATCATGAACAATTTGGACTCATTTAATTTAATAATAACACAAGTTAACATGCTATTAGAATTATCTGGTGTACTGGATGATATTCGCATTTAGTGGAGTGGATACTGAAGAGAAGAAATACAAAGGTTGGTTTACAAAACTGGTTTATAAAGTCATGTAGCAGAACCCTGTCGGGCGTTTAAATGTGGCCTACTTGTTTAATGAGGCACTAACAATTTGCTGTTTGACTTCATAAATATTTCTAGCCCTGAAGTGAAGTTACATGGACGTTAAATAGCTTGTTATGCTGAAAAAACAATCAATTTATGACTAAAGTAGATGGCTTTCTTAGAAATCAACTTTTTTGTTTTTATAGATTTCGTAAGTGCTTTGCATGGTCGCAAAGTTGATGTTTGCGATGTCTACCTTGAACATATCTTGAGCCAGACTGCATTACAACTCTGTTCAATATTTTAGAACTTACACAGTTGATTGAATCGAGAGACCTCTCTTGGACTTTGAAGCAGGATCAGTGGTAGCTCTAATGAAACGATCTTGTAAATAAAATGTCATTGAACTTTATTTGTACTCTTGCTGTAAACACTATCTACAGGAATTTTTCCTTTATATGGTGTATGTTAATTGCCCCTTCTCTGAGTAACGACGCCGAATTATTTCTAGGAGGTTGGACTTGCAAATGATGATGACAATGATTCTGGAGAAGAGAGTGTGGAAAACCATACTGGAATGAATTCAGCACTTTCTTTTCCTTTGGCTGCGATTGGATTTGTAACCAGATTGGCAACTGGAATATTTTCACGAGGCCGGAAAAATCTGGACTCTGGTTTGGATTCTGAAGCTGAAAATGACAGTCATTCCCAGATGTTGATGCAAAGTTCCGATGGATTATATTCTAGTGACGAGTGTAGCTCGCAGAAATCTAACATCATGGACTGTACGGGTACAGACACGACTTATCTTATTGGGGATCAAGATATTTCTGGGATAGTTCCTGATCCAGTGGATGCAGCTGAAAGTTTACGCAATACGAGGCCTCAGGAAGTAGATGCTCCAGCCTCCTATGAAGAAACTACTTGCACTTTTAAACGTTTTGATACGGCTAGAGATCCTCTAGATCACTATTTCATTGGCACGAATGGACAGGTAATGCTGCGAGTCTCATTTAAAAAAATTACGGTTCCCTTATTTTAAATTAAATGATATTGAGGGGATAAATGAAAGGTTGCAGTTCCCTTATTTTAAATTATATGATATTGAGGGGATAAATGAAAGGCTGATACTCAGTGCTTAAAAGGGCAGTCCAAGTGTAGAACCCGTTGCCCCCTTTTTCTCTGCATCCAGTGAGAGAATAAATGGAGGTGCGTGCGTGTGTGTGTGTGCGTGTGTGTGTGGGGGGGCGGGGGGGTGTGGGGGTGTTGTTGGACCTTTATTTTCTGATCGTAAGCCTATCATGGATAGAGTTGAAATCTGAACTTTGTAATAATGTTATCTACAGGTCAATGGTGGAAGAAAGTGGTTCAAGAAGGTACAGCAAGACTGGAATATCCTTCAGAATAACCTCCCTGGTAATCATAATTGTGTTAGATGTGTAGAGTCAATGGAATTTGTAGATATCATCTCAAGTCAAATGGCCTTGGATCTCATTGTAAATGAATTCAACAGATGGGATTTATGTACGAGTCTATGAAGACCGAATGGATCTTGTGAGGGCAGTAATTGTCGGGGCGTATGCGACACCCTACCAAGATGGTCTTTTTTTCTTTGACTTTCACCTTCCCCCAGAGTATCCCGATGTTCCACCAGTAAGAAATTCTGAAATTTTTGACAATGCATTTCTAATTTCTGAAATTATGTCTCTTATCTGGTTATATTAAAGGTTTAATTTCATTTCCTTTGAAGTGGGCTTTTCTGTAACATTGTACCTCAAACCTGCAGTCAGCATATTATCATTCTGGCGGATGGCGGATTAATCCCAACTTGTATGAGGAGGGGAAAGTTTGCCTTAGCCTTTTGAACACCTGGACTGGCAGAGGAAATGAAGTGTGGGATCCCTTATCTTCTAGCATTCTTCAAGTGTTGGTTTCACTCCAAGGATTGGTGCTCAATTCTAAACCATACTTCAATGAGGCAGGGTATGATAAGCAAATTGGGACAGCTGAAGGAGAGAAAAACTCGTTGGCCTATAATGAGAACACTTTCTTGCTGAATTGTAAGACAATGCTGAATCTAATGCGAAAGCCCCCCAAGGTAAAATCACATTCAATGCGCCCTGTGATTCTATTTTCTTCTTTGTATCGAATCTGTCATCCACTGATATTCACTTCACACTTGCCTGGTCCTACTGTCTTTTTCTGCTTTAAGGGCGAGGGCATGGAACCAACTATGATGGTTTATTCTCTGTGAGCTTTACAGATTCAATGGCTAAAGCATAATTGACTAAGGAGATCGATGCTATATTTAAGAAAAAGAAAATTTATGATACTTCACTGTTCTCTCTGCAATCCTCCTCATCGGCTTTGATGCTGTGGGGTCATGGATATCTTGAAGATTAACTTTCAACTCATGCATTACAGACTATCGCTTAGGATGTAAGCAATGCATGCTCCTTTTTTCGGGGATATTTGGTTACTTGTTAAATCCTCTAGAAGTTCGTCCACGTTTTTTTGTTCTGAGAAATTTCGTGTTTAATTGGTTGATGTTCTTTCAGGCTGCTAGGCTGATGCTTTAAATATTTCAATTCTCTATTTAGTGTTAAACCAGAGAAGTTGCATGTTAAAACAACTCAGGCAACTCTTACATCAAGTTAGGCTTCTTCATTCTCTAATCGTAGACGCATTTGCTGCTAAAATGTCATAACCGGAATATTTTTGAACTTTTTCCTGGAACATATAGGACTTCGAAGACCTTGTCAAGGAGCATTTTCAGAAGCGTGGCTTTTACATCCTCAAGGCTTGTGATGCATATATGAAGGGATATTTAATCGGATCTCTCACGAAGGATGCCTCTGTAAGCAGTGAAAACAATGCAAATTCAACATCGGTTGGCTTCAAGCTTATGTTAGCCAAGATTGTACCAAAGCTTCTCTTGGCTTTGGATGAAGCTGGAGCTGATTGCAATGAATTCAGACATTTGGGAGAACCATAGCAGATTCTGAAGTCTAAGCCTCTGCCTCTTTCTAGTCAAAGAGGTTAGCTTTGCGATTCACTACGATTTCGTTCACCAACAGATATTTGTTGATGTAAAGACTTCCATTCCTGTGCAAATGAAGAACAGTCGATTTGCGCAGCAACATTCTTTGCTGATTGGTGAATGACATGTTTTAGAAGCTTGGTTTCCTTTTGAGCAAAAAATGCGCGTTTCCTTGTGATTGTTCCAACACTAGTGCCAAATGTATATTTTGGGGTGGCCACATCAATTTTTTTTCTGCGGAAGTTGGCCTCCGTGTGTACTGACTTCATTTTTTTTTATAGGAAAAGTTTTGGATCTTGGAACGTATAATCTATCTTATTCATTGTCAAGTGTTAAAAAGTGTACATTTGATTTCCTTCTGTACTAATCACAATCGTTGGCATCTGAATAGACATTGATCACTTGCTGTTTGCCGGTCAAGCCCTAATAGGCTAATACTAGTGTTAATTTGGCTTTCATGGCCACCATGTCATGAAGGCTATTGCATTTTTCATGTGATTGCTCATCAATCAAATGGAACTCCAAATAGGCTGAGCAAACCAGGTACAGAGTTACTATTATGGACAAATTGGCTATTCACTGCTAACAACATCATAAAAGCAACAAAAAAAATGTGATTGCAAAGGGAAATCTCATGCCGATCGAGCCATGAGGTAACAGAGCGAAGGCCTTCTCAAGAGTGAGTATCGCTGTCCATGTCAAGCCATCCCCCGCGACATGCCTGCAAGTATCTATTCTCTTATAGTTTTGGATACCGTTGGACTTGGTGTATTCGTCCACAAAAAGACTTGGTCGTGCATTTTGGGTGGTGCTGTGAGGCGAGAGCAACACTTGGGGTGTACTTTAATCATATTTGGGGGGTAGACTTTTGGCTGTCATTTGAGACCCCAATAATTTTAATTCGCACACAATGTATGCACAGCGTGCAATGAGAAAGCGATCCTCCTCCATTGCTTGCACAGGAGTCCTTGTCCGTGACACATTTGTCATAAAGTCCACTTGCCTGGGTAGTTCTGAAGACTGGACTAAGTCCAATCAAACCATCAATAAATTCGTATCCAACTCATTAGCGGACACCCACCCGTTACAGAGCCATAATATACAAGAGACTGGAGGTTCCTTCGTCTCTTTCCATTCTTTCCAGAGCAAATATGGAGGAAACGAAGCTGTGCAGATACGTTAGCTCCTGCGTGATCCTCACCATCCTCGGTTTGCTTGTGGATGGTGCCGTGTCGGAGGTTTACACGGTCGGCGACAGCGACGAATGGAACAGCGGCGTAGATTACGGCGTGTGGTCTCAGAAATACAATTTCAGCATCGGCGATGTTCTTGGTGCGTCCGGGCTTCATCTCTCTTCTTACCTGAATCTATCAGTATAGCAAGTATCCGTTAAACTGATATCATTAAAATCCTGATGAAGCTTTTAGATGCGTGCCTTAGAATTTTGCACATATTCTTGCATGATGGGGTGATATATTCAACAAACAGTGATTTAACACCTAGGAATGATGGTGACGTAATAAAAGAAGGAACCTTTGTCATTTTCTTATGAGAAAAAAAGGAGTTGCTGCGAGGTTTCTTGATTAAACCAACTTTGAAGATCGCTATCCTGCTCAATGGTAAAACATGTCTCTCTCGACAGTAACGTTTATCCTGCAAGCCTACAGCTTGTAATCTTGGCTTGCTTCCTTCCTAATGTCAGTGTAGTCTTCAAGTACATAAAGGGCCAACACAACGTGTATGAAGTGACCGAGTCGACGTTCCGGTCATGTGACCCGAGCACCGGCGTGCTGGCCAAGTACGCAAGCGGCAACGACCAGGTCACTCTCACCGAAACCAAGAAGTACTGGTTCGTCTGCAATGTGCCCGGTCATTGCCTCGGTGGAATGAGGTTCGGCGTCGTCGCGAAAGTATCAAACAACACTGGTACCCCAGCTTTGGTTCCGCAATTGGGGCCTCCGCCGCCCCCGCAAATCAGCAAAAATGGAGCTTATGCCTTAAGGGGATTAAGCACGTGGGATTATCTGATCCTGTTTGGCGTTTCATTTCGGTTGTGTTTGGTATGGTGATCAAGATTTTGGGACCAAACGGTGGGTGTTAGATGAAGATGTCTGATCTATTCTTGAGTTTACATCTGACTCTTTCTTTCTCTCTTTTTTGATAAGTCAATAATTTCATTGAACAAGAACAAGGAGCAAAATGCTGGAAGCACACTAGTTAAGCCTTTTCAACCTGCTGATCGCACTAGTTACACCAACTCAACAAGTCCCCCAGTTCATGTAAAGAACTTCATGCCCATCCAATGATATTTTCCTTCTAACATCAGCACAATTAGCTAATCCACCTCCAACAGCATCCTTCAATCCTCACCATGATCAGATCGGCATTAACCGTAGAAGAAGATATGCATGGCTCTCATTGTGTACTGCGATCTAAACGAAAGAGAGGCGACTGTTGATGATGATTAATGTATAAGGTTTAGTAGTAAAGGTTGTCTTGGAGCAGCATCTTTTTCTTCAAAGTTAAATCATCGAACTTGTTTTTTTACGGGAAACTGACAAAGCATTATCAGAAGCATAGACACTGATATTTCTTTGTCTTTCGATATACAAGTACTCCTCCCCTTGTCGAAATCCAACATGTCTTAGTACGCAATCAATACTCACAATCTGTCTTTACTTCGTTTACTTGATGACTCTGCTGTATTACTGCCGACCAACTTAAAAGGCTCCTCTTTGTCGCAATGGTCCAAACACTTGCTCATCAACATCGGCCCGAGTCAATGAATATAGTTGATGTATAGTTTAATCGCATCAATTGCTTATAAATTATAAAGTACAGCTCTTTGACATCAAAATTGGCATTTACAGGATGTCAACAGTTTCTCACTGGGCTCTTGTTCTTGTTCCGAGCGTCCTGGGTCTCATGGCTTGCGTTTCTGGTTGTGGTGCTATAGGTATGGGCTTCCATGGTCTTGTTCTCGTTATGTTGTCCTGGGCCTATTCACTCTTGCTCGTGTATCTAGAACATAGTCTTTATTCTGCTTGGGTTTCTGCAATTCACGTCAATTCGTCATCGTCTAAGGATTGATCAACTCCAACACGTCGATCTAAAAGGAGGACACTTTGAATGGTCAGATGCGTAAAAATTGGTACTCAAGGACAGTGACAACTTTTCGACCAAGAAAAAAAAAGGACAGTGACAACTTTAACCAAAAATAAAAAGTACAATGACAACCAAAGCTACACTGACCAAAAAAAGCCAAAGCTACAAAAACGACGTCGAATTGTGAAATGAAAGTCCTTAAGGGTGCACCTTTTCAAGAAAATTATCCAAAAAATCTTAAATTTATTATACTTAGTATACTCAGTCATAAATATCTCAATTTTATTAATTGAGTTCCAAATATTTTCATTACCAATCAAGTCCATCTAGCCAAATTGATCGGAATATCGCCGATGTGGACACTAGCCGTGCCACATAGACCGGCCGGTGGTAACGTGAATAATTTTTAATAATATAATTTTTAAAATTTTATTTATTATTTTCTTTTTCCTTTTCCTCTTTTTTTCCTTTTCTTTCATTTTTTTCCCTTCTTCCTCTTCTAGCCGGTCGCTGGGCATTAGCGACGGCTGATGATCGGCTAGAGGCGAGAGCCGGCCGGCCAGCCAAGTCGAGGAAGAAGGAAAGAAAAAAAAGAAAGAGAAAGAAAGAAAAGAAAAAACAAAAAATTATAATATTATTAAAAATTGTTCACGCCGCTAGTCACCAGTACTTCATGACGGGACTGTCAAGGCCCATGTCACGATTTTCCCACTAAATTGGCTTGGATGGATTCAATTGGCAAATCTTGAAAACGTTTATGACTCAATTGGCAAAATTGAAAGGTTTGAAACTGAATCGGCAAAAGCGCAACGAATTTAGGACTTCTTGGATAATTAAGCCCCCTTTTCCGGGGCATTCGGAGATTAAACTAATCGTGCGGGAGAAGTATCTTCTTATCAGTATGTGGCCTGCCGTGATCCCCTTGTCACGTTCAAGAATGGACCTGAAAGTTTTTGTCTTTCCGCAGAAAACGTTGTCGCTGTCCTCCAACCAATCGGAAGTCTATTGCAGAGAAAAGAGAGAGAGCAAACGAAGCAAGAAGTCGTTTTCTCCGACTGCATTTGTGCGGTGTCGTGGACATTCCAATTACTGGGCACTTTGAACCATTTTCTCAATGACAATAACGTTTTCCCGCAACTGATAGCGCACTAACGACGATCGAAACAAAATAGAAAGTCCTGGTATTTCGAGGAAAGACCCTATTTCTGATCGATTCTCGCCCAATTTCAAGAGGGATCGTGATTTTTCCAGGCCTAATAATTTCTGAAGACCACATTTTTTGCATCCTAACTCTTGATAGTCCGATCGAAATCGAAGATGGCGATGGCATTTTTGACGTAAATGTTCAGCCGGTAGCAAGTCGGCCACGATGGTTTTAACTGGTGTTTGCACTCGCTGCAAGTTTCGAGAGCGAATTGCTGAAGTTGCGGATGCCATTTTTGTCAAATATCATTTGGACAAAGTGGTGGGGGGGAGTTGGAAACTGTCAAAAGATGCTGGAGGAATCTTCCAGCATGAAGTCTGCAGATCCTAAACCATTTTCAGATCTCTTATGGGCTTTCTAGAATGGTCGGCAAATTCCGACGCCGCGCCCTACCTTGACGTTAACCCATTTGAGAGTTTCAAGTTTGACAGTACGTCGCAAATTGTCTTCGTCTTCCTTGTAAACCGGGGCAAAGGATCCTCGTATAAGATGCCAAAACTTCAATCGGTGTCCTGACGATGGTCTGACGTTTTCCCTTTTCTGATAGGAACGAATTGGAGGGTGTGAGGAACATACGCGTGCGAGGCACTCTCCGCAGAACTCAACACACGGTACTTTGTTCTTTTGAATGATGTCCGAGAGACTTTTCAAGCAAGATCTTCCGTTTGAGTTTGGCTTGTCCGTATCATAATAGGACGTCGATAACGCCATTAGGGTTGGCTCCTTCGAAACTGATTCGTTTAACCCGATATTTCGTTTTCGATGAGTCGGAGCTTATTGTTGGAAGATATGCGATATCGTTGAGGTGATATGCAAAGATCAAGTGGGATTATATTTGATTTGTAAAATATTTTATTTCCTTTATTCATTTATGCATTGTATTATAAATTTATACATCATGTATTGAGCAATACAGAGAAAATATACACTGAATTTTCTCCCAAAGCCATCTCTCCTTGTCTTCGATCTTGCTTTCTTTCATGGTATTAGAGCGGCTTCGCTCCTGATTTAGCTTCCGCA